GATGTAGACCCAATGAGGCCACGGAAATCTTCTTTCTTGGAATCGGTAATGCTTTCTACGGAGTCGCCAATCTTTTGATCAATAGAGGTAAATTCCTTCGTTTCCACGTGGACAATCACTGCTCATATGGAGATAGATACGTTGTATAAACGAGTGAATGGCGTTATATCATTCGTTGCCGAAAACCCAGTCCGCGCGATTGCCTCTCATACTCAGGTTTGGCTGTCAAGATGGTACAAAGATGTATGCGCTCCAGTTTGTTGACATTTTAGTTTCCGTCCTGAAGCGGTACTGATGTGAACGCAGAATTCTCTTGTGTTCGTTTCGCACACCCATGGCGTCTGGAACACGGTTGAAAACCGGCGCAAACCATCGAAGCGCTACGGGCACTTGATCCAGTCTAGCAAGTCAGGACTGAGTGAGATGCTGGTGCATCACCAAGAGGAAGTGTTCCAGTGGATTGAGGATCGAGCTGACACACACGAGAGTGAGGAGACGGAGGAGGAAAAACAATCAAGTCGGTCTCCAACGAAGCTCGGCGAAGTGTTTGCCAAACCGACCTGAACGATGACCGCATTTTTGTGTTAATTATCTTGGTTGGCGGTCAGGAATGTTGCATAATAATATAACTTTTTATTGCACGAAGGATCAATGATGGTTACGCTAGGGATTTGAGTAGAGATAAAATAACCCGAAGCCCCAACATAGCGACTAATACATAGGGCATTCAGATTGGGACTTCACATTCGAGTCGGAGACTTGGTATGAGGGAGTAAGTACTAGTGGTTATCTCTTACTCCAGAAGGAGCCCTTGACCTGCATATTGATCTTCTGATCAATGATATATTGGGAGTCTTCCAAGCAAGTTGTGGCTGTGTTATGGTTGCGCCCTCGATCTGCCGAGCCCTGGCCGAGTGTTGATGGGGGAAAAAACAAACATCGGAAATATCGCATGTACCTATGCTGAATGTGGAGCATTGAGACATGTAGGGCACTGATTGGGATCCGTTTCTTCCGTCGGATCCACAAAGTGAATTAAATTGGTGGCGTTGCATTGCATCCATGACTTGTGCCAGTCGTTGATGGCAGAAGAATCCCTTGCGGGGGGAGTGCTGCAGTAACCAAAACCCCGTCTGTGCTTAAACCTCCGGGAATTAATTCTCCACCGCGGTCTTGCGCCTAAGGCTCGCTAGTCAGATGATGGCGCCGGATATGACAAGAGACAATCCCCTCCAAGTGACCTCATATGCTATCAATAGACTGCCGAAATACGAGATCCGAAGACCTCCAAAATGAACCGAACCAAGATATCACCACCGCTTCCAACGCGAGGCGAGCTACTGCAATGACCCTGAGACATCGCCAACCAGACTGTGCTAAACCCGAATCTAGTCTGAACGACTAATGCATCGCCATTGGATACCTCTCTTCGTCTACGGCGGATGTATGCGAGCGATGATGCCCCAGATGTAACTGTCTCACTTGGTGTTGCTGGAAGTCTCCACTGTTCGTACGGAGTACTGGGCCAAGCGATCTTTCCCCTACTACAATGTCTCAGTTCCCATACGTCCGACTCGGGTATTGACATCAGGTTAGCTAACCTCCGTCAGACCATCGACCCATCATGACTAGGGCAGGGTACCTTGGGATGAGCGGTCTGGGAAAAAGACCCGGGGGCATAGCGTTGACTCTCCTCTCTTTGAGCCCCAAGTGGAATAAAGGCAAAATACAACCAATTCCTTCTAAAAACCTCGGCCATCAGAAAAACATATAAAGGCACGACTTCCCACCACCCAAACCTGACATCCAACAATCATCCCTCTCAATTACATCCCTAGTTCCAACTCAGTCCAAGACCCATCCAAAGCAAAAATGCAGTTCAAAGCCCTCTCCCTCCTAGCCCTAACCCCCCTGGCAGCCGCCGTGGGCAACGCAGTGATCAAGAACTCCTGCGACCACCCCGTGTACGTCTGGTCCGTCGGCGGCTCTGTCGGCCCCAAACAGACCATCGAGCCAGGCAAGTCCTACAGTGAGCCCTTCCGCCACGACGCCGCCTCCGGCGGTATCTCCCTCAAGGTCACCACCGTCGACAACGGTCTCTACGACGGCAGCCCGCAGCTGAACTTCGCCTACACGCTCGACAACGCCGGCGTGTGGTACGACATGTCCGATGTCTTCGGCGACCCCTTCTCCGGCAGTGCCGTCGTCGTCAAGCCCTCCGACACCTCCTGTCCTTCTATCTGCTGGCCCGAGGGCGTCTCCCCCGGCGGCAGCCAGGTGAAGGTGTGCCAGAGTGGATCGGACGAGGTCCTGGAGCTTTGTGCCGAGAAGTGCTAGGTTCGTTTTTCCTTCCTTCCTTGCCACAGATCTTCCTAGTAAGATGGGCTAATGGATAACGCAGGTACTGTACAAGGTTGCAAGAATCAATTCGGCACGGGTTAATAACCTTATGCTATGTTTACGTCTGGGTCATGGGACTGGCTTACTTAATGAATGTTGGAAATCTATGTGATGATGATGAAACTCTGTATCTAAAGGAATCGATGTAGCAAATCATAATTGCTCTATTCTTCTCAACCGTGGTTATGCTGGGTCGTGTGTATATCTTGGATCCGGTCGATGAACTCTGAACTACGAACTAGTTCTCCACATTGATTGTGGCCGGAGTTATTGTGACTAATGGTTTGACGGAGTTGGAAAGCATGCTTGAGTTCCAATGGTACTTAGCGTAGGAGTAGTGGTGGTGGCTGGTTAGATGGTTAGGAAGTATTTTCCGGGCATGGCTTGGGCTTTTGTGACTATGGTAAATAGGGGATGGGGGATGTCTGGGAGAGGGCTATGGGGCACGCTATGTATATGCCGGCGTTGTAGTATGTATGATTGGAAGAAGACTTTGTTCAGCTGCTGAATGTTTCTTCTTCGTTGAACACGTCTTATATCTCTCCATATAACATGATAATAAGAGTCATACACCCAACTACCGAGTCCAGAGTAAGTTCCAAGTACGTAAAAGGGTATAACATACGATATAGTCTTGTAGGACTCCATCAGCTAAACGCATACACGACACAAATCCCATAAACCAGCGCCAATCATCCCAGAAAAGCAGCCCCCAAACACAAGGCACAAGAAAACAAAACAACACAAAAAAGAAATAGTCTACAATTTCGCCTTCTCCTCCTTAGCCTTCTTCTCCCAACTCTTCTGCGTCACAAAATTCACCGCCATATTCCACACAGCAGCACCGACCCCCAACGGCGGCGCCAAAAGCAAACACCAAGCCCACCACCTCGGACTCGTCTCCGAGATAGTACCAACAGCCTTCCTGACCTCCCTCTCCAAATCGCTCTTATCCCCATCATTCCAAACAATCACGCCCCGCGCAGACTGCGTACCCCGGAACTCCGCCTTCTCCACCTTCCCCTTCACATCACCCTGACTCTTGACCCGATTCTCCGCATCCTCCGCACTCAGATGCGGGTCGCGCGCCCGCAGCCTGGCCATCTGCACCTCCGGATCCCGCACCCCGACCACAATCACCGTCCCGCAGATGAAGTCCATGCCGCTTTCGAACAGAAGCGGGACGTCGAGGACAACCGCCCAGTGGCCCCGGATATAGTAGTAAAGGAGGGATTTATAGACCTCCCACCGGACAGCCGGATGGACGATCTTATTGAGGATCATGCGATCGCGCTTGCGCTCCTCCGTGGTGCCGAAGACGCGACGGCCGAGCGCGGGCCGGTTCAGGGGCCGTTTGGACCCCGTCGGATCATCTGGGGATGCCGGGAGGAGGAGGTCGGGGGTGCTGGGGCCGAAGTAGTTGACGATTGCTTTGTAGCCGGGTGTTCCTGGTTCGACGACCTGGCGGGCGAGCAGGTCGGTGTCCACTATGGGGGATGGAGTAGGGGGCGAGGAGAGGAAGTTGGACACCGTGGATTTGCCGGTGGCGATTGAGCCTGTTAGGCCGATTATGAGCATTTTTGTTTGGGGGTTGGGGTTCTGGTTCTGGTTCTTGGGCGTTGGTCTTTGGAGGGTGGTGAGGGTTGGTGGGGGTTCGGAATTGAGTTGCGGGGAGGTGGGAGGTCGTCTTGTGGTGGGTTTGGTCTGAGTTGTTGGTGGAGAGGGCTGTGGGGTGTTGATAGGGTGGTTTTGGCGTGGAGATGAGGAATTGCGTATGTTGGAGGAGGTTGGAAGAGTGTGTTCTTGAAGACGGCGGAGTTGGATCGGAGATGTGGGGAGAGCTCGACAAGCACCCTAACCTCGGCTCTTCTGTTGGTGACACCTGAACTGATACCACCTGATGGCTTATCACACGGGCATTAATACCAGGGTCTTGCATTATAACGCGGCATTTACGTCCTTGAATGCTCTATTCAAAAGAAAGACTGAAAGATAAAGTAGACGAGGTCATTACTGTCGAATTCATGTTGAGAGTTCCTATAGTGCCCAAAACCTAACGCCCCTTGCGATAATTACCTAATATTGTTACATGCAATGTTAATTGTCTATGATTTTGAGAGTGGATAGTGAATGAAGGGAGATAGTATGTCTAGAAGCTTCAATCTTCTGACTCAAACAATTCGTCGTCTAAGGTATCCGCATTCAATCTGTCGTGACTTTCATGAAATAGAACTGTAGACCCAAGTGGTTTGTAGAAGGGTTGTCGTAGTGAGACTTGACAGACAGAGCAGGCTGTCCGACCGCTGCGGGTTGGGTCCTGATGGTAGGTGTAGCAGGCAATGCCCCAGTCATACGGCACATTCGACCAGGAACAGACATCTGCATGTCGTAGAGAGCCGTCTATAGGCTGGTGGCAAAGCCTCAGGCAATGACCGACTACCATCAGGCCATATCGGCTGTGGACGCGACATATTGCATGCTTAAGCAGACACAGGTATAGTCTAGTCCGGGCGTGGTACGGTAGGGTCGATGTGTCTCCGGCTTCCTGACAGGATACCGCGTTCCTTGTACTGGGAGTGGCTGCATCAGTTTGCTAATGATCAAGCTTCAGGCAATCCCTTGGTCGGGTCCTGGTCCTGGCCTTTCCAGCCCTTATACGGCCATCCCTCTGGGAGAGAAGAAAAAGGAGGGAGCACGTAGCGTCCAGCGCAGTCTCCCTGGTTTGGACAAGATAGGTCGCACAGCCCGAACACCTTGCAGTAGCACTCTTCGGCAGTGGGACAGTACACGGGGCCCTTTCCGAAGATCATGTGCCATGAATACTCCATGATGCGCCCACTAAGGTCATCCTGCAGCGGCGTCTCAGCCAACCACTTCCTGAACCGCAAATAATCGCTCTTCGGCCGCTCAAGAACCTTCGATCGTGTGACACCGAATTGCGCACAACACGAAACCCCGACTTCCTCTGGTACTTCGACGCCAGGGAAAAGCTCCATGAAACCAGTCTTGAAGTACTCGCCTGCATGGACGTCGTCACGATGAGTATCAGTAAGCGGGTGGATCTCGACCGGACATCCGAGAACCCAGGCGCAGCGGAGATTGACATATCCTTGCTTTAGGAGGTAGGGGAGCTGGAAATTGCGGAGCATTGGGACACCGTCATAGTAGGGATCGTCATTATGCCACTGGTATCTTTGCGAGTGGATGAATAGCATCGCGTCGGGGAGGTTATCGTAGTTATCAATAATATACCTGTGGCAGAGTTAGCACTTCGTACGCTCACAGCAACCTGTGCAAGGGTTTATCTTACGTCAGGTACACCATAGACTCCCTTCCCTTGTTCAGGTCCACCGTCAACTCCGCCTGCTTATCATCTACCACGTAGATACTCTTATGCCATTCAGGAAAGTTATCATATAGCCAGGAGACGTCGTCCTTCTTCATACTAGCAATGACCAGGTCCTTCTCGAGAGTCTGCGACTTTGGCACCGGCGACGGGGAAGCCTGCCCCGAATGCGAATTTTGCTGTGAACCTTCATGGGATAATGAATTGTGGGATACAAATTTGCGGTGTTCCGACTTCTTCGCGAAGAACAGAAAGTACAAAGCGCCTATGATGAACATCGTCACCAGAATGGCCTTTTCGCGACTGCGACGGCGTGGACCTTGGACTCCGCCGCAGAATAGCATTGTGTTGACGATGGGGTAACAACTCGGATGGGGTTCGGGCAGAAAATCGAAAAGCTCAGTCGTATTTACAGGGACGAGTGAATCTAGTTCAGGTCGATAGAGCAGTGGTCATCATTGCGCTGCTGGGATTTGATCGGCAGGAGATGGGCAAATTGCAATAAGGTGGATTCCGCCGCGGGTCTCGACCGTCCGTGGTATTCCCTGCCCCCTGAATTCGACTTTGTTTATAACTTGGTGCGTGGTAAAATCATAAATCATATAGCGTAAAGCAGTAAGAACTGCGACGGGTTGTACAGGAGGGAGAGGCTGTCAGGCCAGAGGTTGCGACAAGTGGCAGAACAGTTGATTTCGTTTGCTAACTAAAAGCTGACCCCCCAGCCACAGGCCGCAAGTGGAGCCTGAGGACCCTTGCCCAATAAATATACCACTACGTAATAAGAACCCCTTCGCCTTCACATAAACTATGGATGCACAAGTTTTGGGATTGAGATCTCCGAACCCAATATGAAACTTTAGATCTTGGAAAGTCAGGAATTCTGCTCCCTCCAGTTCAATTCTTTACAAAACACTAGTTCCCAGCACCTGGCGCTGATCTAGATAGACCAAACTGGCTTCTTTGAGTTGTTGAGTTCTCGGCGCACAGTTAATTGACGGATCAGCCCTTGCATTCGCCCTGGATTATGGTCCTCTTTGTAATCGCTGCCATCGCCGGCTTCTGCATTTTTTGAATGCGCATATTGAGTGTTAAAGATCAACTACAACCTCGGGGCCAGCGACTGGATTTTGAGAAATGGAGGACAGTGTTTCATAGGTCAACAGACTAGCAGAAGGAAAGGAAGGATTGTCAGACTCTATCAGCGTTCTATGGACCTAAATACCCACCCTGACTCTTCTCTTGAGCAGACACGATAGTCATCTGATAGCTAAATATCTCTTCCGGGGGTCTGGTAAAGCCCTTCTTTCCTTCCCGTGAACAGTTATATAGAAATGAGCTGCTGGAGGCCCTCTAGCACAAGATGTTCTCCAGGCGCAATTGCTGGCTTCCCTATAGTTCTTTTCTAGACATAATATGTGGATCTCCATTGCCTTGAGCGAGGAATAGTTTTCGTCCTTTGGCTGTCCTAGCCCTAATTGTGGACCGTTTTTGCTTTCAGCACCCGTAAGGTCTTGTCTAGGTTGTTATGCACATGGAGATTTATATACAAATTCATTCGATATCCTCAAGCATCTTGCTCAATAAGAAAGCCGATATGTCATAAATAAACAGACAGCCCACGAGGGTATCAACACAATGTTGGGAAACATAGAGCATATCACGATGCTACACCAGCCATAGTGAATCCACTACTCGATACCACATCTTCATCTTCCACTATGAAGGTCATCGCCCCGGTATAGAAGGCCTGTCCGCCAACTTTCGCAACTACAGAACGAATACTCCTCTCCTTGGTATCAGTGATGGAATCCTCGCCGGCGATTTCAGCGGTAAACGCTCCGGCTCCAAATTTATTTGACACCAATGAGTTATACGCCCAGCGCTGTCCAGGCTTCCTCAAGCCCTTCTCATACGCCAACGCCACGCGCGCTGCGACGCAAGATCCTGTAGGCGAGCGATCGATTTGGCTATCGGCAAAGTAGCAAAGTCCAGTCTCCGTACCATCTACATCGCCAGGGTTAAAACCTGTTTTCGAGTCCACCATCATTATAGAATAGAGGAACGAAAGACGAGGGTCCTCCGGGTGTTGGATTGCGGAAATAATTTCCGGATGTGTTTTGAGATAGGGCAATAATTTCTGGCTACATCGCGTAGTAGCATCGAGGTCCACATCTTTCAAGGTTTTGAAGCCGAGCTCTTCGATATCGATGAGGGCGTAGTATGCCCCTCCGTAGCTGAGATCCAAAACGATCGAGTCCCTTGTTCCAAGTTCAGGCCAGCGAACTTCCGGCGGGATGGAAATCTTAAGTTGAACAGCAGGTGCAAAAGAAGGAACGGACAGGAACGATACCGATCGCGACGGGTCGGATTTCTTTCCGTCCGGCGTAGTAGGCACAGTAACCCTGATCAACCCGCAAGGTGCGTGCAGGTTAAGCTTAATACTTTGGCTGTCTGCATCAAACTTCAAGGTTTCTCTTTTGGGAAACACATTCAGGTCATGGGTATCGACCAGAAACCGGCCCAGTGCCATAGTGGCATGTCCGCACATAGTGGAGTACCCCTCATTATGGGTGAACAGAACCCCAATATCAGCTTCCCCGGACAGCACTAGCTCTGTCTCGGGGATGATGATAGCACCGTACATGCCATCGTGTCCACGGGGCTCTGACATCAAGCGTTTGCGAATGTCATCGTATTGGTTCTTCGCTTGATCGCGTTTGGAAAGAAGTGAGCCTTCGAGGTCGGGGAAGCCTGAGTAGATGATGCGGGTTGGCTCGCCGGTGGTGTGCATATCAATGCAATGGACTTGGCGGCCATTTGTTCGTAGTGAGCTGAGTACGTCCATTTTATTGCGTATATGGGAGTTGGCTGTTAATCTGAATAGGAGCTGATATATGGGTTTTTGAAAGTAGTGATCTGTGGTTTATATACTTCACCGGAGGAGGGTTCCGAGCGGATAGATACTCCGAAATGTGGGGAAATCTCCATATGTATTTACGCCCTTCAGAGCACATTCAAGAAACCCAGAGAGTCTGGGCTGCACTTTAAGGACGAAGGATCCAGCATATATTATAATCCATATTCATACTCGCCTTTTTTTAACTGGTACTGGCTGAAGTATTCACAAACAATGTTGGTCATCAGGACAAAGAATACAGTCTTAACAGATGAGCCACGATACACAAGACTGAAGGCAGTATACTTTGCCTATCTCTCCCTAGTTTCACTCTAGAATGGAAGTAAATGAGGTATAGGCTCATCTGAGTCATTTTTATATAGCATCATGCAAAAAGTGGAGTATTTGGGGAGAAAAAAATTTTGTGAATATGTTGAATCCTTCCAAAGAAGTGTGAAATGAGATAACAATGAGTTATGTAAGCCCAAAGAGCCGATGTGCTCTTGTTAAAGATGGTTATGAGAATATACTGCCAAGTTACACGCAGGTAGCTTTATATAACCACAGCTGCCTTTTGAACATAAAGATAAGCCCTGATATTGCCGAATTTTATATAGAACAGGGCATATTCTAAGGAAGCCCGGTTGTCACTAAGAAATGGCCGTTGCTAGTCATTGACTCACTGTGAAAGACAGTCTTGTGGGAGTATATCACCCTGTGTATCTGGAAAACATATCACACTACCTGAACTGAGATGATGTACATGCCTAAAGTATACTAACCCTGATCAGTGATGGTCTTGATCGAGGGCCCTTTTTGGGATGCATTATTGTGGGGAGCTTCACCGCCTGCAACCCGAGGGAATCCCCGCCTCACCGCCCTGATATTAATCATCATCCAATGGTTCCTCTGTGTTGAACAGCATTGTTGAAATGTCGTGATTGTTGTCATTCCTTCTCCCAACCTCTTTCTTACTGCTTCTCCTCGGCATAACCTATTCTCATTGTAAAGTTTCTTTGTGGGGACCACTGCCTTATCCAAGTGACGTGGACCCGCATTGACCCGGTGGCCACATTCATAAGTTCGCCGCCGGCAGCTCGCTCGAGCGGCTTCTTAAGATACTCCCGTTCTCGCATGCCTCCAAGGTCCCCGTCCTCTGCAGCCCTCCGCCTGTGGAACGCTAGGAGTCCCTCACTTTTTACTCCAGTTTATCGCTCGATTGCACATTCCGGCGCCCTTGCGGCGATCGTCTCTCCTTCATCGATTTCGCCACGGTTCTTCTCGCATCGCTCTCCCTGGTCATCCCGTGTGTGCACTCATCATTCCCATCTCTTGTCAATTCGTGCTCCATTCTCTACCAGAACTGCAGCCATGGCCTCGATAGAACGAATTACGGAGCATTTGGACAAGCCGGAGTTGGATGACCGCTCGTACCGCGTCATTCGTCTCCCAAACAAGCTTGAGGCCCTTCTTGTTCATGACCCTGATACGGACAAAGCAAGCGCAGCTGTCAACGTGAATGTTGGCAATTTTTCAGACGCAGATGATATGCCAGGCATGGCTCATGCTGTTGAGCATTTGCTTTTCATGGGAACAGAAAAGGTAGGTTAGATCGTGCTGGCGTGCTCACCTCGTCCCTCTTCTTGAGCGCATGACTGGTAGCTAACCTGTGCCATGAACACAGTATCCTAAAGAAAACGCATACAACCAATATCTAGCATCCCATTCTGGATCGTCTAACGCTTACACCGCTGCCACGGAGACAAACTACTTTTTTGAAGTGTCTGCCACTTCGGAGTCGAGTGATGGGTCGTCGAGTGGCAACAGTACCCCGACAAACGGGACAAACGGGACAAACCCTACCGAACAGACAGACGGCTCCGAATCTCCGAATAATAGTAAACCATCTCCTTTGTATGGCGCTCTCGATCGCTTTGCACAATTTTTCGTGTCGCCGCTTTTCTTAGAGTCAACGCTGGACCGCGAGCTGAGGGCAGTAGATTCTGAAAACAAGAAGAACCTACAAAGCGACCTGTGGCGTTTAATGCAGCTAAACAAATCTCTCTCGAATCCAGCGCATCCGTATCACCATTTCTCCACCGGAAATTTGCAGACGTTGAAAGAAGAGCCGCAAAAACGCGGGCTGAACGTTCGCGATGAGTTCATCAAATTCTATGAGAAACATTACTCATCTAATCGGATGAAGTTGGTGGTTCTGGGACGTGAAACATTGGATGAAATGGAGCAATGGGTTGGAGATCTCTTTGCTGGCGTAAAGAATAAAGATCTGCCACAGAACCGTTGGGACAATGTTCAGCCTTGGTTGGCCGACGATATGTGTAAACAGGTTTTTGCCAAGCCTGTAATGGATACTCGTTCGCTTGACATCTACTTCCCTTTCATAGACGAGGAGCATATGTATGAGTCCCAACCAAGCCGGTATATTAGTCACTTGATTGGCCACGAGGGTCCCGGCAGTATTCTGGCTTATGTGAAGGCAAAGGGTTGGGCCAACGGCCTGTCTGCTGGTGCTATGCCCGTTTGCCCTGGATCTGCATTTTTCACTGTCTCGATACGGTTGACAAAGGAGGGTTTACGGCAATACCGTGAAGTCGCAAAGGCGGTGTTTGAATACATTGCGCTGATCAAGGAACGGGAGCCCGAGCAGTGGATCTTCGACGAAATGAAGAATCTAGCCGAGGTTGAATTCCGGTTCAAGCAGAAGACACCGGCCAGTCGATTTACTAGTCGCCTGAGTAGCGTCATGCAGAAGCCCTTGCCCAGGGACTGGTTGCTCAGCGGCTCGCTCCTGAGGAGCTACAACCCGGAGTTGATCAAGAAGGCACTGTCGTACTTGCGCGCTGATAATTTCAGAATGGTTGTCGTTGCTCAAGACTACCCGGGAGACTGGGATCTTAAGGAGAAATGGTACGGCACCGAATACAAGGTCGAGGACGTCCCGAAAGACTTCTTGGCTGAGATTCAGGAAGCCTTGAATAGCACTCCGGAAACCAGGCTCTCTGACCTGCACATGCCCCATAAAAACGAATTCGTCCCCACCCGACTCTCCGTGGAGAAGAAGGAGACCTCGGAGCCAGCAAAGACCCCAAAGCTGATTCGCCATGATGATCATGTACGACTCTGGTTTAAGAAGGACGATCGGTTTTGGGTGCCTAAAGCCACTCTCCATGTCACTCTCCGGAATCCACTGGTGTGGGCTACTCCCGCGAACCTTGTGAAATCAAAGTTCTATTGTGAACTTGTCAGAGATGCTTTGGTGGAATACTCCTACGATGCTGAGCTTGCCGGACTGGACTATCACCTTTCTGCCAGTATCTTTGGGCTTGACGTGTCGGTTGGTGGATATAATGATAAAATGGCAGTGCTTCTAGAGAAGGTACTCACTAGCATGCGTGATCTAGATGTCAATCCAGACCGGTTCCACGTCGTTAAGGAGCGCTTGTCACGAGGATACAAGAACGCAGAGTATCAGCAGCCATTCTATCAAGTTGGCGACTACACCCGGTATCTGACTGCCGAGAAAGCATGGCTCAACGAGCAATATGCTGCTGAACTGGAGCACATCGAGCCTGAGGATATCTCGTGTTTCTTCCCCCAGTTGCTCCGCCAGAATCATATCGAGGTGTTAGCGCACGGAAACGTGTACAAAGAGGATGCCCTTCGGATGACGGATTCTGTGGAGAGCATCCTTAAGAGCCGTCCCTTGCCCCAGTCTCAATGGCATGTGAGGCGCAACGTGATCATCCCTCCTGGGTCCGACTTTATCTATGAGCGGGCACTGAAGGATCCCGCAAACGTCAATCACTGCATAGAATATTACCTTTTTGTCGGAAATATGACAGACGACGCTCTCCGAGCGAAGCTTTTGCTATTCGCCCAAATGACGGACGAGCCTGCGTTCGACCAACTGCGAAGCAAGGAGCAACTGGGTTACGTCGTTTGGAGTGGTGCACGTTATTCGGCCACGACTATCGGTTATCGAGTAATTATCCAGAGTGAGCGTACTGCCCAGTATCTGGAATCCAGAATCAATGCATTCCTGAGCAACTTTGGCAAGGTCTTGGAGGAGATGTCGGATGAAGAATTCGACGGCCACAAACGGAGTGTCATCAATAAGCGCTTAGAGAAACTTAAGAACCTGGGCTCTGAGACCACTCGGTACTGGACCCATGTTGGTTCTGAATATTTCGACTTCCTGCAGAACGAGTCCGACGCTGCTAACGTCCGGTCCTTGAGCAAATCTGACCTTATCCACTTCTATCAACAATATATTGATCCTGAGTCAACCACAAGGGGTAAGCTTTCAGTGCACCTGAAGGCTCAGGCTGGCGCCGATACAAAAGAGCCAAACGAGCAGAACTCTGAAGTATCGTCGCTACTTGCGAAGCAGTTGGAGACTGCCGGGTTTGCTGTGGATAACGATCGCCTGAAGATCGTGATCGAGAAACTCGATATTTCCGCTGAAAACGAAGGTCAGATTTTGGCTGCCCTCAAGACGTTCCTTGCCTCTGAGGTGAATCTGTCCGAGGAGCAAATTAAGCCAGTCCTTGAACAGGCGGAACAGAACATAGCCTTGCACTTGAAGCAAGCTGGTCCTGAGTCTAACAAAGAAGTATCCGTGACGAATGGCATTGGAAAACTTGGAAAAAACCAGGATCCGACCTATATCACCAATGTTTCCGAGTTCAAGGCACGCCTTGCTGTCAGCGCTGGCCCGAGCCCAGTGACTGACTTGAGCGAATATGAGGACTTTGATGCTAAGCTCTAAGAGTAGAATCTAAGAGCTGTATTCTCTTTCTTTTTTATTATGTTAGACATAGTCAATCTGTATAGATTCAGCATTGAACATGTGGGTGTTGGGGTGGGTGATGGTAAGGCATCGGTTGGGGTTATTGGAGCTATGGGATCTCGGTATGTACGTAGTAGATCCACTTAGAAACCAAGCGGTTCAGATGTTGGTTTAACATTATTCAATGCTCGCGGAATAAGGTAAACAAATCAGAATCTGATGCATAATGAAAGGAATTGAAGATACTTTGTTTTCACATAGATTATTAGAAACTGGAAGCATGTGGACTGATGTGCTCTGGTTGTATCGAACATCGATCGGTGTAAAGTAAATAGCGCTCTCGGGGCGGTGGAATGTTTTCGCGGGGCGAGTCCGATGGCCATAACAAAGCTAACTACGGTTTACTCCATCCGCTTCTCCATCAGCGCTCCGGTAGACCTCCGCCGTATCAAAGTTGCGACTGAACACAGCCGCGCCAAAATTCACTCAATTTTATAGTTATTTGAAATTTAACTCGCACGAATACTGCACCTTTCATTTCCAGAAACAGATAGTCGCCAATATGTCAACTACCACGACGACGGCGATGCAAAGCTCTCGCCCGTATGTCTCTGCTTCGTTTATCGAACCTACCCACGGCTTCTGTCCTCACTGGCGGTTACTGATAATTCATTTCTCGCAGGCCTATCATCCCTAAAGATTTCTCCGCTCAGCAACCTCAAACGATCCGTTTATATCCACTCTCCAATTACACATTCGGTACCAAAGAAACCCAACCGGAGGAGGACCCCTCAGTCCTGGCCCGTCTAAAGCGCCTTGAGGAGCATTACGAGCAGCATGGCATGAGACGGACTTGCGAAGGTGTTCTTGTTTGCCACGAACATAACCATCCTCACGTGCTGATGCTACAAATCGCCAATGCCTTTTTCAAGCTGTACGTGTTGCTTTAGCTACACCGACTGCCGTGGCCTGCAGTGCGGCATACCACAGAGAACCGTAGACTGACCATCAACCTAGTCCCGGCGACTATCTTCACTTCGAAGACGATGAGGTGGAGGGTTTCAAGAAGCGATTAAATGAGCGCCTTGCGCCTGTCGGGTCACAATTCTCGGGAGAAGGCGTCAACGAGGACTGGGAAATCGGCGACACACTTGCGCAATGGTGGCGGCCGAATTTTGAGACCTTCATGTATCCCTTCCTGCCTGGTCATGTTACCCGGCCAAAGGAGTGCAAAAAGTTGTACTTCATTCAGCTGCCTAAGAAGAGTGAGTCTCGAGCCTTGACTCTTGCACTTGTTTCATATTGGACCTGTCTGACTTTGTTCCTTTTCCAGAGGTCCTCTCAGTACCGAAGAACATGAAGCTTCTTGCTGTGCCGCTTTTCGAACTATACGACAACACCGCCCGTTATGGTCCACAACTGTCGGCTATCCCCCACCTACTGTCTCGGTATAACTTCGAATTTGTGGATGAGAACGACAACGTCGTCGCGGCGACCCCGGGCACACCACTGCCTGAAGGCCAAATCCCTAAGACCAAGGTCCTCGCAGGAGACAATGATGGGCAGGACGAAGGAATGGCTGACTACACCGGAGATCCCACCGAGAATGGAGGACAGTGAGGACTGGCCCGGTCCGAGGGTGAGTACATATATGCGTTGCTCAGCAATTGGACGCTAGTTTGTTTGCGTCCCGCTGATTGCCGTTTCTTCAAAGACATGATGAGTTTTATTATTGGCCGGCGTTTTGAGGAGCGGGATGTTCTCTGTTGTATTTTCCCGATAATGATCCATCCTGGCTTAATTACTAAAAAATTTAGAAGAGAAAGGATTAATCGGTTGATTCGTAGCGTGTATTCTATGTTTTCTTACTGTAGTTCCGAATCTCTATATTTGAATTAATTTCTTGCTACTTTCACGCAGCAACAACAGCTCTCTTCTCATGACAGATTGTAAGGGGCAGGGCAGACCCACCAAATCTTAAGCTTCTACCAGGTGAATAATTGGCCTGAAAGGAGAACTGGAAGATTGATCTTCGCCATGTCAAAGTTGGCCATTAAACTTCCCTTCTTTACATAGGTCTGGCTATGGACCGTTGTCAAAATAACACGGAGTAGGGTAACTGTTGTTGTTTGTCGCCAGGAACGCTGTCGGTATCTCATAGGACAGAGAAAAAAAAAATTACAGGATTGATCAGTAAGAGCTTATCACTTCCAGTAAGAAAGTATTCAGCTGAGTCCTATTCCTGCTTCAGCCCCAGCTGGAGCTGAATCAGGGTATTGACTCACGCAGCCTGGCATTGGAGATACAACAGTGTAGATATATAACCTAACTTCTACACTTGATAGTTTTTTTTTCCCAGCTGGTGAACTCTGATAAGTCTCAGTATGGGGCACTAGAGGTTTCAAATACTGGATAACTTTAACTTCTGAGAATGTATACAGTTGAGTAGGATCACAGCAAGAGGGCAAATGTATCTGCGTCAAGCACAGGAAAGCAAGAGGAATAGGAGAGGGAGGAGTTAAAACACAATGATTGAAAATACTACATAGAAAAGATATAGGTCCCTTGACCCCGCCTTGCAGCACTCGTTGTTCAGCTTCAATCAATATCATTCCTATCCTACACTCATGCCAGCGCACCCGATGCATAGAAAACATTCCACCGGGTGTGGAGCTGGAGCAAGGGTAGATGTTTCGTGCCTGTAGTATCTTACAGAAATCTCGCCGACTTTTACTAAAAGTTTGATCAGCGTTCTCGAGCCACTGCAGGTAATGACATACGAGGTACAGGAACAATAATATCACACCGCAATATGGTCCCTCGCTATACCGTATACTGTTTACAGCCAGTCTTTGACGGTGTATACATATAAATCAGGCAGTACCATATAGCCTTGGTATCCAGACATAAACCAAGCCCTTGAAATATCACAATACCCCAACAAATCAGCAATGTCGTCTGAAAAAACCGAGGACTTGAACAGTTATACTGTGTTGCGCGTGCACAAATATGACCCCGACAGTGAAGCATCGACGCCACAACGCCTCATCCAGGTTGAGAAGGACAAGTTCACCAGCATCGAAACGGAAAAATTGGAAGCACTTAGGAAATTTTTGATAAGCGAAAAGGTCTTCGATTCTTCAGAGTACGATATATATTGGGCCCGTGGAGAACGAGTGTCGCGGGCTTACATCCATCCAGCATATCTAGCCCATTCTGCGATAAAAATGGGTCTGAAATGTCCGACTCAACCATGGTGAAGCTTTACTTCAGCGTAGTCGACGAGGCAAAAGAGGAAGTATGAAAAGCATAATTCATCTTCCACAGAAGTTTTACTAATGTCCCTATAAGATAACGAAGATGTCGGCAACTTCAACTTCTCAATTGAATGTGTATTTCAAACAGAAGAGGACACGCACCACCCTTGACGATGAAACGAAGGAGTTCCTCAAAAGGCAACTGGAGCTGACCACGAAGGTGGGTCCTCAGCTAGGAACACCCATCGTAGCTTGTCTTGATCTGCTAAGTTGTTGCAAAATAGGATCAGAAATTGTCAGAGGCGGACCTCAAAAGGCTCAAGTCAACATTTGATGCAGCCAACTGGAAGGCGACGGCAGGATCGAAGCAAAGGTATCTCCTCTCATACCGATGGTGTGTCAGTGCTCAGAAAAGGCTCACGAACCTATCTACCCAGCCATGCTGCCGACTTGACCGAAGAGCAGTGGAGTATTATTACACGGACGAACTGTCTTTTCAGTGGCTATAAGATAGTGAGATATGAGAAGATAATAGGGGCCCCGCGCTACTGGATCCCCCCAAGTCGGCTGGCGACAAGAAATCAAGTCCAAGCAAGGTTCAGGGCAAGGTGACCACAGAAATGAAAGTTGAACGTACCCCCTACAGCGGTAGGTAGTGTTTCAATTATGTGGTATGCTAGAATGAATTGGTACTAATCGATGGCATCCTGTAGCGTTTCAACTAAAGAAAAGGCCATTTCAGAAGGATGAGATATCAGCTGATCCTGGTGAAGGATATCTCATCTCAGGAACTCCGACAGCACCTGGGGCTGATAATGTGGGGCCATAGGCTTCTAGCATACCAGGCGCAAAGCTGACAATTTATGTGCTATCTAGCTTGAGTTTAGGATCCCTCGATTCCGAGTCGATGACGATTCGTATGTGAGCGTTTATGAGACGCAAAACGCTCTAGAGAGCTCACTTGCGAAGGGCTCATTTTCCGAGACCGCAGTTCAAGCGTCTGTGTAAATTTGATCATATACCCTCCTGATGGCTGGATGTAGCTGACTTATGACAGCGGTGGTGGTTTCTGGGGTGTATCCGCCGCAGCCAGCGCCGGATTCTCCGCAAATAGTAAAAGCGATTCAGTAACCGCGAACTCTGAAGAGAAAAGAACAATGCACATTACTTACAAGGTATATCTGTCTGTGGGAGGCAATTGTCAAATAGCAAGCGTTAACCATCAACAGTTTCCGCGTGTTACGGTGTACCTTGACAAAGATTCTCTTGAGATCACCGAGGAATGCAAACGTGAGATCACAAAGGTTCAGGACAAAAAGAGTTTGATAGCCTTTAGCAAGAAGTTTGGTTCGTAATTTGTTTCCCTACTATATTGCTCAATTGACAGGTTTAACCATGCTTGAAGGTGATATCTTCCCCCAAAGGGTCCAACTTGGCGGAGCTCTGTTCGCCAGCGAGGACAGCGTTGCCGATAGTGATCAAACCAAGAAGAACCAAGCTAAGGCTATGAAAGTCTCTGCTGCTGCCTCCTTCTCATCATCATGGGCCCAAGCCTCCGCCAGCGCAAGCCACGAACAGGGCAGCAGTTCTATTGAGAACACATCTAAACAGAATCTCACGAATGCAATGGCCTGGGAGGCGACCGGGGGCGATACATTGCTATGTAATAAGTAAGCACTTAGCGCGACGGGGTGAATAGGTGCCATTCTATATGCTGATGATAACATTATAGCCCTCCGCTGTGGTGTGCAACTGTGGGTGACTTCTACAACTGGAGGGTAATTGACGTAAGTCCATCTCTCAATGTCTGGTTATTGAACATTAACTGATTTACCACAACAATAGCAAAGCGATGTTCTCCCGCTTTACGAGGCGCTTGATGAAATCAATGATAATACAAATTTTGCCACACAATTCGAACAGGCCGCGAAGAGAGGCTGAAGAATTCCACCGTGAGTTTGTGACGGTTAAAAAAGGGCTCGAGGCGTTTCAACAGCTGTCAGGAGTGAGCTTAAAGCAAGAACTTTCAGTGCCCTTGCTCTCTTGAATACTTGCAATAGAATTGGAAGCAGAAAAAGGAATACAAGAGGTCATATCAACTCGATCATGGGGAATCCTATCGAACAGTTTACCGTATAGGCTATTCTAAAAAAACAATCTTATCTTCCCATAGCCCTAGGACTTCACCACTTGCCTGGCGATCGTATTCAGCTTGGCCTTTCACTGTGGATACCAGTGAGAATTTCTTTCAAAATCTGCCAGTATATATTCTCTAGACCTTTGACTCCGACAGTTTCTTATGTCTAGGTACTTCACGAAAACCATTACTTTGAAACTTCCCATCTGATTCAAAAAAGAGTTAAATACAAAACTGCATTCAGTTACAGGATCTCCGCCACTTAGGAGAAGCCACAGCAGGTTTCGAAGAGCAAGAGACTGTTAAACTAATCCGGTAGTTGGGAAGCCTTTAAACCTGTGAAGGCATTCTCTGTTTAGCTAGACCCAGTGCTTAAGTGTATTTCTCGAACTGATGGACTCCGGTTTCGAAACCAGGGTGTCCTCGTCTTTGGGCATCTTAATTCGTGCGAACTGATCCCCGGAGAAAAAGTAATAGGTATCATCATTGTTTGGAAGAATCGCGTCAACTGTGTCGAAGCCAGCTTGAACGAGAGATGGCCATGACTCGGCAATTGTGCCCTGCGAGATGATCGTATCGTCCACGCTCACATCTACCCATTCCAAACCCCGGAAGAAATATATATTTTTCTTTGACCCTGGGACAACCATTGCCGCGTCCACTCTATCAAAACCAACCTTTTTCAGGGACTTCCAGCTCGACACTATAAGGCTGGGTTCACCATATTCCAAGGTATCCTCCCATGTGTTAAGATCTAGTTTCAGTCGGAGGTATTTGGCTCCAGAGAAGACATAAATGCTGCTCTCGGTGTCTGGTACTGGTACCACGGCATCAACAGTGCCAAATCCCGCTTTATTAAGGGACTTCCACGTAGAGCGAATAGAGGCTGTGTCTCTCAGCACACTGTCGACCTTACCAGGGGTAAAGTTGACTTTGATGTAGTTGGTGCCAGACCAAATGTAGGCCATGCTCGTCCCAGGAATGCGGTAGGCGGCGTCAACCATGATGATGGATCAAAGAGGTACGGCGACGTGATTCGCGATGAGTTTGTCTCGAACAGAAAAAGAGAAACCCCAGCTGTGAGGTTTTTAAAAATGCGGCGATTTGTGGTCAGATTGGATGGTTTGGCGCTACCTAAGTTTGTATATCTCACCGCTATTTCTATCTTTTGGATTATGTCTTATTAACGTTAGTTCGCCGACCTTTCTCCAATATCACTCTGCATGATTCCACAGCCAGGCAGAAAGACCTACTACTCCATCTCATGGAAGGAACACGTCACCTACGTCTGTCTAGTGGAAGCTTTGGCTAAGATCGACAAGAGATGCGTCGAACTGATCGAATCGCCGGTTACCGTCGAGATTACTGCTGACCGCTGTATTGGCGCTATACTCAGCAATCTAACCCTAATACACTGTGGTTGCAACTTTGCAAGCGGCCGCGGGCTAAGATAGATAGACAGATACGGACCTCTCTAGACACAGAAGATCACTATATTCTTTAATATTTTATTCTAGTTTTATGTGGACGCTGCCTAATTAGGCCCAGTGCTGTTGTTCTTCCTAAGCGATATCTTCCTATAGTCTTGTAGTGTGGGTGACTGGTTCGCGAACGTCTCACGATCAAGTCCTGTTCGGTTCATAGGGTGCATAGCATACTGCGAAACCCTGTCTAGCTGAATACAAAGAAGAGCATTGATTCTATGGGCCGTATAAATCCAGTGAGATGTACTGAGTTCAACCACTGCTTGGTAGTCTGAATTTCCACCGAATCATTGTTCAACTAATGTATGGACTACGGCATGGATGGATGATTTCATCTACCCTGATACATATTGAAGGGTACTGGCCACCCCTATCACTATTTCATGCACTCTATCTAGTGATTATTTTGTATCAGCTGTCCGTTTAGTCTGTCTGTGAAATGATTGATCTCATTCTATCTGGATCATGCTACAACGGTGACATAGCGTCAGGTACGATGTAGTCCGATCTCCGGGCACAGATAACAGGCTGATGATACCGTACACGAAAATCAACAGATCGACTGTTAGAGGCCTTTGCAACCCTTCGACTACAGTGCCGATCAAACAGCGCTGGCTGTAGATTATTGGTTACCTGGTCAGTGCTGATTGGGATGCTTAACAAGGAAACTATGGAACGGCGGAATTTCCGTATCGCCTGATAATTCAGGCCTATGTGGCCTAAATACTGAGCGATAGATGGACACCTAACCTTTTACAGGATAGCAGTATTCTACAGTTGAAAGAAACATACTTAACTCAGGGCCCAGACTCGAGGAATACTTCTCCTAGATGCCCCCAGACAGTTGTGATGGAGGTTTTCTCTTCCACTTTAGACTATGAACGCTTTGCACCACTGGAAATAAAATGGTGTGTATAGAACGCTGAGCAGCAGATAACGAGTGCATACCAGTAGAAAGCACCTGCAGCTATATGGAAGGAAAATCTGACTAGTGATTCATCATCGCGTACGCCAGAGAAAGACAGCCCTACGTTCGACCTCACTGGACTCTCTTTTAAACAAGCACCTACTAGTAAGCCAAAACGTGCTCACCCAATGTCCCGGACTCGTTTAACTAATACAGAGGAAACGGAATCCTTCCGAAGGGAGAAATATCGGCGATATGACAATAGTTCATCAATGCTCCATCGCCAAGATCTCCGTTGGTTCAAAAATCTCTCCTACGGCAGAGATGGCTCAGTGATAAGCACTAAATACATCAACGGAACGGAACAGAAAAGAAGGGATCATCCAAGACAAATAAGCCAACGAGAGCCGTTGATTGGTCCCAGCTGTCCCTAGGACCTGGAAATGCTGTTCATTAACCGTTAGGGTAAGGAACTGGGAAGGTCCCCACTAGCGAACCCATGGATAGCGATGGGAACTATGAACTTGGCGGCAGGGACGCGGGTGACTTAGTTCCTCTGTCGTATGCACTCTGCGCAGAATTCTAACATTGTAGCCTCCCTGTTCTGTGGTCTTGGCTTCTGATTCGTTCCCATTGCAGTGATCTAAGCCTCTTCATACTGCCGATCTTCAATTCTGCATTGGCCTTCTTTCGCCTATTGTTTGAGCTTTATTGCCTGATACTGGGATAAGCTACGATGTATCTTAGTGGATGTGATTTGTGCACTCCGTATCCCACCGGAATACCGTTGGGGAGTTTGAACTTCTGGTGTGGAGACTGCGGTAGTGGTGAATTCTGCCTGTCCGTGCCTAGACATATAAGGTTGTTTAAGGATTCCAGGGATGACTCTGGATCGGTTTGAATCAGGGAGAAACTACAGGTCTAAGCACCTCCGGCGTTGTGGTATTCCAAGTGGCTAAATTCTGGGTTCATATGACCTGTCCCTTCATTTCAATTGACTTTTTCTTTGTTCAATACATATATTATTTCTTTTATATAATATTCGCGCAATGCGCCATTTCGGCAAAGCTTTGACAGCTTTCGCGGCCTGTGCAGGGCTGGGCGTTGCTGCCCCTTCTTCTTCGGCTCAAATAAACCCTCGAGGTGAGTGTGGACAGCTACTACCCCTGTGCATGAGGTATTCTATCATATGAGAGGTCAGATTCTAATTATGGCTTTAGAGGTCTCGCCACAATTCCTTCAACAGCTCACGCTATACGCCCAGTACGCGGCAGCGGCATACTGCTCCGCCAACACCAACTCTCCGAATACGAAGCTTACCTGCTCAGTTGGAAATTGTCCTCTTGTCGAGGGAGCGAACACCAAGACTTTGGCCGAGTTTGAAGAGTACGTCTCTTGACTTCATCACAAGCATCTTTACCCTAAACCCGCTAACATATGAATCAAAACAGAGCTGAATCCTTTGGCGACGTAGCCGGGTTCCTCGCCGTAGACGAATCCAACAAGCATATCGTTCTCTCCTTCCGAGGAACCAGATCGATAGAGACCTGGGCTGCCAACGTCCAGCTCGCAAAGGAGGATGTCGACGAACTCTGTGACGGGTGCGAAGTGCATACCGGCTTCTGGAAGTCATGGGAGTCGGTAGCTACCGCTACGATGAATGGCGTGAAGAAGGCCCTTCAGGCTTATCCTGGGTTCAAGCTTGCCGTGACCGGGCACAGTTTCGGTGGTGCGGTTGCGACTCTTGCGGCGACTGTTCTGCGGAATTCGGGATCGATGGTTGAGTTGGTGAGTCTTTTC